TGTGGTTGAGGTTTGTTTATTTTTATCACCAAAGCATCAGGCTGATTAAAAGAGTCAAAAATACTCTTAAGGGTGGGTTTGGGACAAAAATGTATACGTGTACTAAGGGGAAAAGAATTAAAAAAAAACCTTGGGCTTTGCAAAAACAGTAATTCACAAAATCAGAAATTAACTGATTAAATTGAGTTTTTTGTTCAGCTGAAAGAGAAAAACCCTTGACTGACGGATTTCTATCAGATATGAAGAATTTTCAACATGAAGATGAAGCAAATATAAAAAAAAGCAAAACCTTAAACTTAATCTAGACAAATCCAGGAGAAAAATTTATACATGTACTAAGGGGAAAAGAATAAAAAAAAAAAACTTGGGCTTTGCAAAAACAGTAATTCACAAAATCACAAATTAACTGATTAAATTGAGTTTTTTGTTCAGCTGAAAGAGAAAAACCCTTGACTGATGGATTTCTATCAGAAATGAAGAATTTTCAACATGAAGGTGAAGCAAATATAAAAAAAAGCAAAACCTTAAACTTAATCTAGACAAATCCAGGAGAAAAAAATATTTTGTCTGAAAAAGGAGGCAGGGTCAGGCAGGGTTTCAATGTCGGAAGCACCGCTAACAAAATTATTTTGATGAATCCCAAAACTTCTATCTAAAATATTTTATAGACAGCTAAAAGAGGGCAAGTAAGTTAAGTAGAAAGTAGTAGTAAGTAGAAAAACTAATACATTTCAGACATAGAGCATTGTATTGTCAAACATGGAGGTAGTATTATGGTCTGGGGCTGCTTGGTGTATTTATTCAAGTCTACTCCTAAATTATGTTGAGATACTGCAGCATAACCTAGCCATAGCCATCTTGTTCGACTAGCCATCCTAAGTAAAACACAACAACAATGCACTCTGACAAGAGCAAGTCTTGGATTTCTTATTACAAGTTAAAAAGCATAATAAATCAAAGGAAGTAGATTAACCCTTTAAAGCCTGATCCAAGAATAAAACAAAACAGAAAATAACTTTTTTTTTTTTGGTTTGAATTCCTTATTTGCCCTTTTAACAAAATATGTAAAAAAAAAAAAAACAGAAAAACATTTTTGATATTAATAATTTATTACTATGCGATAGGTCAAGATTATTTTTTGTGTAGTCTTCTACTGGCTGTTAACAGGTATATCTGATTGTGTACAATTTGTGTACGATTTTGAGCAGTTTTTAACATTAAATTATGCAAAAGGTGTCAGATGCAAAATATTTCAGAAACCGTATGTATCAAATACGATACATTTGGCATTATAGGGTTAAATTAATTGACTGGTTTCCTATGAACACAGAGAGTGGACCACAGATCTGAATGAGGTAACAGTTTCAGTTTTTTCCCCTCACTGCATGTGATCATTTAACCCTTAGTTTCTTTCATCCAAATTCCAAAACCACTTCTTTTAGTAACTTTGTATCGTCCAACATGTTCTTACTCTGAATTTTTAGATGATTTTCAGAGTTTTTATCTGATTTGGGGTTGAATACTGACAAACTCATCATATAAGGGAATTGTTGGCCTGGCTGAACAGGCGAGGAGCTGTGTTTCCCCCCACCCCATTACAGGGGAAAATGGCACCTCGCCTGTTACACCAGGCCAACAAGTCTCTCTATCAGAGACATAGACAGGTTTCATGTATTACAGCCTAACAAAGAAACCAAACAACCCTTATTCCAAAGGGACTGACCCATTTGTCCGGTTCAATTTGCATGTTTTCTAAGCCAAAACAAGGCTTTGTTTTAGGTCCACTGTATGAAGCCTTGAACGCAACCCTATTTCTGACGTTTTGAAGTAAAAAAGCTTCCTGGATGGGAAGCAAAACGTCTTCAAACTTGAAAAAAAAATGTCTGGTGGATTGTTTTTTTTTTTTTAACCTTTTTTGGATAGACTGGAGACACGGCTGTCTACAAGAATGGTATGAGCAGATTGTACTATATAAGGAAGCTTAGGTCCTTAGCGTTTGCAGAAAGTTGCTACATATCATCTGTAGGTCTGTTGTGGAGAGTCTGACCTCTGCTGGGGTAACAGTATTAGAGCCAATGACTTAAATAAAAGCTCAACAAGCTAATTAAGACAGACAGCGTTGTTCTAGGTACTCCTCTGGAACCTATGGAGATTATTTCACAAAGATGAATTCTTCATAAAGTGAAGAACATCATAGACAACAGTGATTATCCTCTTTCCAAAAATCTTTAAATACGGCAACAGGGTGTAAAGAAACTTCTATGAAATCATGCAAGACTGGTGGATGTCCTATACTCGCTGCTGGGTGTCGGTGAGGACAGAAAAACTGAAGATGGAATTTCCTTTTAATATTTATAGAACTGTTTGAGCAGTTGTACAACGTGAAGATGTGGAGATTGTAGAAGATGTGGTCTAAATGACAACAGAAATAAGACCGTATCAGTTTACCTGATGAATATTCATAGGATACATATTGCTTTACAGCTTACTTTACAAGCTTATTAACTATCAAATAGCTAATGGGAATGGCTTACCAACAAGTTAAACAACTTAGAAGTTTAACAGGAGCATGTCAATTCAAAATGGTGATTAATAACAGAACATAAAACTAAGATACTAAGAGCTACTAAGAACATATTAAACAGCATTAAAATAATGGGAACACCATGCTAAGTACACAGCACTTTGTAAAAAAGGGTATCTGTCTTCAGTAAGAGGCATCTCCAGATCCGGTGCAAGACAGACCTCTACAGGATATTATTTTTTACAAAGAATTTTTCATAAAGTGAAGAACATTATGGACAACAGTGAGCATCCTCTTTAGAAGATTTTTAAACAACAGGGTGTCTTCGGTAAAAGGCTTCCCCAGATCGAATGAAAGACAGACTGCTCCTTCCTGCCTACTGCTATCAACACCTGTATTTCTGCAACATTTAATTTCCTTTTGGGAGTAAGTATTTTTGAACTGAATCTTTGATAATTTGAATTAAAATTTCCTGTTTTTATGTGTGGTTTTGAAACCATAAAAGTTTAAATTGTTTTTGTATGTGGTATGGCTTTGATAATAATAATTGAACTTTATTCATCTCACACTGGAGAAATTTAATGTCACTTGAAACATGCAAGCCTAAAAATGTGTCTGAAAAGTTTCAATTATTTCCAGGTGGGAGCAAACTGCATTTAATAATGCATGCTTACGTCTTCTTGGTCTGTGTGATGTCGTACTGACCAGACTGCGTTAAGGCTGCTATATTAAACACAGCTCATGTTGTTGTAGCAAACTGTTGTTCGTATCCCAGCTGGGGGGAATGGGCTGCCACTGTGGGTCTTTAGGAAAGACCCTTCCCGCTAATGCCTGCTTTGGGGAGTTGCGGCCCAGTGGTTAGGGCATTGCGCTTGGAATCCTAAGGGTCTAAGTTCAAGCCCCACTCCCAGGGACTGCCACTCTGGGTCTCCAAGCAAAACCCGCACAATGGCAGCCCACTGTTCCCCAAGGTGATGGGTTAAATGCAGAGTTCATTTCATTGCTCTATACTATGTTAGTTTCTGCAAGCTCTTTACTGCTTAAATTTTTTCACTGTTTTATAGCAGCCATTTACGGAAATCAAATAATTTTATTTCACAATGTTCACTCAGCACCCCATCTTGACCTTGCAACTTTATCAAAAAAGAAAAAAACTCAAATATCAAATGGTGATTAGTGTTAAGACCCTTGTGTAACTCACATGCTTTCTATTTCTTCTGATCCTATTTGAGATGGTTCTGCTCCTTCATTGGAGTCCAGCTGTTTTAAACTGGTTGGACTTGATTAGGAAAGGCACACAGCTGTCTATATAAGACCTTACAGCTCAAAGTGCATCTCAGAGCAAAGCGATCATGAGGTCGAAGGGACTGTTCAAGGAGCTCAGAGACAGATTTGGCAAAGGTTACAAAAGAATTTCTGCAGCACTCAAGCACTCCATAATCCTTAAATGGAATAAGTTTGGGACGACTAGACTCTTTCTAGACCACTGATCCTGTCAAACTACAATCTGGGGAGAAGAGCCTTTGTGAAGAACCCAAAGATCACTGACTGAGCTCCAGATATGCTGGATGGAGATGGGAGAAAGTTCCAAAGTTAACTATCACTGAAGCCCTCAACAAGTGGGGGCTTTATGGCAGAGTGGCTCGACTGAAGTTCTCCTCAGTGCAAGACATACGGTAGATTGCATGGAGTTTGCTAAACAAAAAAAAAAACACATGGACTCTGAGAGAAGATTCTGATGAGAAAAAGATTGAACTTTTTGGTGTGAATTCTAAGAGGTGTGGAGGAAACCAGGCACTGCTCATCACCTGCCCAATGCAATCCCATCAGTGAAACGTGGTGGCAGCATCATGATATGGGTGTGTTTTTTCAGCTGCAGGGAAAGGTTGACTGGTTGCAATTAAAGGAAAGATGAAAAATACAGAAGAAAACCTCTTCCAGAGTGCTCAGAACCTCAGACTGGGCCAATGGTTCACCTTCAAACAAGGAACAACTTGGACCATTCTTGACTGGCCCAGCCACAGGCCTGACCTAAACCCAATTGAGCATCTCTGGAGAGATCCCAAAAATGGCTGAACACCAACCTGACAGAACTGGAGAGGATCTGCAAGGAAGAATGGCAGAGAATCCCAAAATCCAGTCATTCCCAAAAATACTCATGACTGTACTAGCTTAAAAGGCTGCTTCTACTCAATGCTGAGCAAAGGGTGGGAATACTTATGATCATTTGATATTTTAGTTTTTCCTTAATAAATTTGTAAAAATTTCTACATTTGTTTTTCTGTCAAGACGGGGTGCCGAGTGTACATTAATGAGAAATAATATGTTATTTATTTTTTTAAAAATGGCTGCAATGAAACAAAGTGTGGAAAATCTAAAGGGCTCTGAGTTATTTCCATACCCGCTGTATTGCAAAGGTCTGCGCAGATGTACAAGAATTTTTTGTGCACTATAGTGAAGGAACTACAGTGACAAATGAGATTTTACAGAATTTTAATTAAAAGAACCTCAGACATTTAACAAAACACTTATTATAAGGAAGCTGAAACATCTGTTGAGGCTGAGAGAAGACGAGCTAAACTATCATTGTAGTAACACATTGCAGTAGCATATCAAAGTAACAACCACTTTATTACAAAAAATAAAAACAAATATTTGGCCCAGTAAAACCTTCACTGCTTGTTAGCGGAAACGTTTGGAGAAGTTGGGCGACTCTGGGACTGTGAGGGGAACTTCGCTCTTCTTCACAGCAACTCGTCTGTAGCGTCTGATGGGCTGAGCTTTGTGGACCTGAAGAGAAGATGAAAAGCTGTCAAACAGGAGCTGAACATCACCAATCATGACACATTCTAATGATTTGTTAGCATAAAAACATTTAACATATACAAAGGTGTTCAACTCCACTGGTTTGACCTGAAAAGCCAGGAAAGGCTACACTGGGACCATAATCCTGTGAACTGACTGCTCCGGTGGTTAGGTGGACTATTACAGTGAAAAACAACATTCTCACTCAAAGCAAAGCCACTTTGCAAGAAAAAGATCAGAGCATCCAGTCAGACTTAAAAATGCACAACCATCCATACTTGGACACATTTTTAATTGACATCTATATTAATATATTATATTGATTTATTGCCTATACCTAATGGTATTCAGAACACTTTATGGTTTAAGCGATATAAGTCTGAATGCTTCAACAGGCTTTAATCCCAAAACTTCCCGATTCAAGGTTTCAGAATAGAAACAGAATCTACTGGAGCTCTGTCTTCATCAAGTATAGGAGGTAAATTCAATACAGTTTATTTCTATAGTGCCAATTCACAACACACGTCATCTCAAGGCACTTTACAGTCAAATGGATTCAAAGTTTTCTATCTAAGGAAAACCAGTTGATTGCACCGACTCATTGACTCGAATGCAACCCCTCACTGCAGTTGCTCTGGAGTTCATAACATTTAGGGTCCTTTCAGGCAGCATAAAAACGAATCCAAACTGGACTTCACCTGTTCTTGCCGCAGCCTGGCGATCTCCTCCCTTTCCCTCTGCTCCTCCTCCAGTCTCTGCTCAGCCTCCATGCGCGCCCTTAGAGCCTCCTTCTCAGCGATCAGGCGCTCATACTCCTGCCACTCTTGGGCTCTGCGCTCCGTAGCCAATGCAAAGGGCTCCACCACTGTAGAAGAATTAATGTCTTCTCAGGAGGTGTCCAGAGGAATGATGGTGAGACAACAAAAATAAAGTGAGTGACACTACTGAAGAGTGCTTCAGCCTCAGTCAAGAGGGAGCACTCTTCAGAACATGTGATCAGGGTGCCTATACATTTCCTTACAAGTTAATTTTTTGCAAAAGGAAAACAATCAAATGGCAGCAACTTCTGGGATATTTAGACCACTGCCTATATTCCCAGTTTGCCCCAAACAGCATGGTAACACTATAGGATAGATTGCCTTCTAGTCTCACCCATAATCGTCCGGTTCTCCTTTTTGGGTCGGAACGGTTCTTTGTGAACGACCGTGTTGGGCCTGGCTTTGAATACGGCTGCCTCCTCCTGTTGTTTCTGCTCCTCCTTCAACTGTAGGACACAAGAGTCACCAATTAGACTCTGTTCAGAATACTAAGAGGAACCAAATCAACCCTCTTACAGATAAAATATACTCAATGGCCTTAAAGGGATAGTTCGGTATTTTTGACATGAATCTGTATGGCATCCCCATCACAAGTGTCATGCAATCACACTGACTTACCCCTGGTAGCGTCCTGTGAGCAGAGTTCTCGTCCAGTTTTGGTCAAGCCGAAAGTAGTCCGGCAGGTTTGCTAGA